TGATCTTGCATGTGAACTGGCCTTGTGGCCTTTGAACTTGTGCTCGGAATGCGTGGTGACTTTGTGATCCACCCTGAGCTTTGCTTTGCTTTGCTTGACTGGTCTTGTGACCCCTTGTTCTCCCCCACTTTGCCTATGGGGGTGTGTCAGAACTTATAGCTTACTTGTTTCTGTAGGCTATAGTGGGGTATCCCATAGGGGGTACAACCCAATTAGGGTTTCCTATTTGTACTCACTTCGTTCATAGTCATTCCATTCTCGTTCTTTGTTTTCACACGCTCGACGTGCATCGAAGTTCTCCACGACCTGAAGGCGGCAGGATTCGTGATAAATTCTAAGAAATCCCACCTGCATCCCGCACACCACTTGCGTTTTCTAGCGATGGAGCTGGACACGGAACGAGGGATGTTCCTCGTCGGAAAAGATCAGCGCGAACAACTACTGCAGGAGCTCCACCTACTGATTCAAAAAGGGCAATCGGGTCGCCACGTGCCGATTCGCAAGATAGCCCGGATCACTGGATTTCTCAGCTCTATGTCGCTCGCGCTGGGCACGACGGCGCGTGCCTTCAGCCATGAGCTGCTGCACTTGATCGACTCCGCGTGGTCATGAAACTCAAAGGTTCTATTGTCACCAGGAGCGACAGAGGAGCTGCTGTTTTGGACAATGCACTTCGATCGTTTCAATGGCGCCCCATTCCACCAGAGTCAGCGTTTTGATGCCGTGATAGACGTCGACGCAAGTGCACATTGTTGGGGTGCCACCTTGGCCAAGTTCCCAAGTACATCATGCGAAGCAAGCGAGTGCATGCCACGAGGGCTTCTCACCACATCCAGTACGCGGCGAGAGCTCGAAGGAGTGCTCTGGGCATTGCGGACGTTCGCAACTCGGATCGTGGGTGCTCACGTCCTCGTCTGGGTCGACAACCAGGCAGTCATGTTTATCTTGCGCAAGGGGGGATCCCGTCAGGCGGATCTTACGTTGACATGCCAAGCGATCATCCAGTTCTGCCTCGGCAACACAACACGCTGTGAAACAAGAGTAGAGAACGGTAGGCTTAGGAGCCATGGTAAGTTGGGAGGAGAGATCGAGTTCGAGTAAGTTTAGGAAAGTCGAGAAGTTTGAACAAAAAGAGAATTTCACTATAGAGCGAGGAGTACAAATAGGCAAGAAAAAAAGGTGCACCACCAAACAGAACATTATATAACTACAGTAGTCTACACTACAGGCAGTTACAAAAACAATATATAGAAATATATATATTATTCTTGACACACGCCTCGCGATCGAATGGATTCCGAGAGAGCTCAACGCCCATGCGGATGACCTATCCAAGATGCAAGACTTTGATGACTACTCCCTACACGCACCTTGGTTTCGCCTCTTGGAACGTCGCTGGGGGCCCCACACAATTGATCTCTTTGCTAACGTTAGGAAAATCACGTTCAGCGCTTCTGCTCTAAGATATCGCACCCGGACGCTTTCGCTGTCGACGCATTTTCCATCTCGTGGAAAGGCGAGCGATGCTTTGCCTTCCCGCCTCCACACTTAATTCCCGCTACACTCCGCCATGCGGAACTGACGCAGACAGAACTTACGCTCGTCATTCCCCAGTGGACCGGAGCGTCATGGTGGCCGCTTCTCCAACCGTCCACTCAATCGTGGGCTCCGCCAGTAGTAGAGCACCTCTCCCTTGCCCAAGGCAGTCAATGCCTTAGGGCAGGTTCACATACCGCTGCATTCTTTGGACTCGGATTGCCTCATAGCCCAATCATTGCTTTGCGTGTAAACTATGCGGTCTAATCAAAATTTCTCAATGTGTCATGTCAGGACTTTTGACCAAACTACAGCAACAATTGATGCAAGTAATTAGCCACGTTCGTGCACCATCTACAATCGAGACGTACCAACCTTATTGGCAGAGGTTTCGCACCTTCTGCACAAAATTTAAGCTCGAGTTCCTGTCGGCAACCGGCCTGACGCTAGCGCTGTATCTCATCCATGCGCTCAACAACAAAGCAACCCTCTCCGCGATCAACCTCACGTGTTCGGCAGTTGCCTTCGCCCACCGCATGACAGGAGAAACCTCCCCTACCGCCGGCCCATTCACCCTGCAAGTGCGGGAGTTCGCCAAGAGACACGGTCCTAGGCCTACAAGGACCAAAGAGCCCATATCTCTCCATCAAGTGCACAACATGGCTCGTCCCTTCCTCGAATAATCAATTCCTGCGGAATACGAGAAAGGATTGATTCCTCTTTGTCAAAATCATATTTATTATAACTGCATGAAGTTCTAGCTGTAGTGTAGTTATTAAATTTGTAGGTGGTGCACCCCTTCATGTGTTCCTTTGCTATATGTATCTCGAATCCTATAGTGAAACCTCATTCTCCAATTTCTCCTCTCCAACTCACTCGACACTCACCCTAGGTGAAAACCCGCTCGATACCTAGTTAAGGGCCTAGGCTACTAAGCCTAGGCCCCTCACCTTTCAACTTAATCTACTTTAAGTTCGACATGTTATCGGAGCTGTTTTCGTCCTGGCCTGTGGGCCCGCGTTACTCTTCCGCTGCTGAGATTTTCCGGTCGCGCGCCTAGGGCGCGTGACGATTTTAGTTTTACTTTGTCCCGCCCACGGGCGTGTGACTCCTACCCTGCCCGTCGCGCGCCCCGTGGCACGTGACGGTGCCCTTTATCTGCCCATCGTGCGCCCCGTGGCACACGATGGTGCCCTGCTCGTCGTGTGCCCCGAGGCACACGATCGGGCCCTTTTATCCTATCCGTCGTGCGCCCCGTGGCACTGGCCCGCGACGGGCCTCTCCGCCCCTGCACTCCCTGCTGCCGCCCCCGACCCATCTGCACCGACGCCTCTTCGCCGCTCTGCGGCTTTCTTCCTTCCCACCCCCCCCCTTTCTCTTGTCTCCCTGCAGCCGTGGGGAGGAGGGTATGGGGGTGGAGGGTGTTGGAGCGGTGGGTCAACTCTCTCCCTTCCCCTCCTCCTTCTTTCAGTCCCACCACTGCAGCTGCTGCTGGGGGGGGAGGGTGTGAGGATGTGGGTGAGCAGGGGGAGTGGTACCGGGGTGGCGGGTGTGAGGCAACAAGCAGCCGTCTCTCCACCTCTCCTCTCTTCCCCCTTTCTCTGCTGCTTCTGCAGCAGTGTGGGGGAGGGGAAGGAGGAGGGTGAGGAGATGGAGGGGGTAACCTTTCAAAGTTAGTCCGCCTACAGTACCTGCTGTTGCTTGTTTTATTGCTCGTTGGTGTACCTCTGCAGGTTGTGCTCGACACTTAGCTATTCCTGCATGCAGTTACGGGGGGATGTCAAAATCATATTTATTATAACTGCATGAAGTTCTAGCTGTAGTGTAGTTATTAAATTTGTAGGTGGTGCACCCCTTCATGTGTTCCTTTGCTATATGTATCTCGAATCCTATAGTGAAACCTCATTCTCCAATTTCTCCTCTCCAACTCACTCGACACTCACCCTAGGTGAAAACCCGCTCGATACCTAGTTAAGGGCCTAGGCTACTAAGCCTAGGCCCCTCACCTTTCAACTTAATCTACTTTAAGTTCGACACTCTTCTCATGTTCTCGGCATTCTTGCGCTACTCCGACCTCGTCTCGCTCCAATGGAATGATGTACAGTTCGAGGAGAAGGCAATGTGGCTGCTCATCCCGCACTCCAAGACGGACCAGGAAGGGAAGCGTGTCTGGATCCCAGTGGCGGCAATTCCAGGCCCATACTGCCCGGTGAGGTGCACACGCAAATTCATACACCTCGCAGGCCTCACAAAGGTGCCACATGGACCGCTGATAAGGGTTTTCCCAAAAAACTTGCCAGCCACACCTAACGACAAATCGCCATCCTACGTCACGATGAGAAACTGGTGCCTCGCGGCCGGCAGGCAAGCTGGACTGGATGTCGCGCACATCGGAACTCACTCATTCCGCAAAGGCGCAGCTACTGCGGCGGCAAGCCTCGGAGTTCCTGACCGGCTCTTCAAACGCATGGGCCGATGGCGCAGCGACAGCGCGAAGGAGATGTACGTTACAATCGCGCTGGATCAGCTCATCTCCCTATCCACGCAACTGCAGGATCCTTCGACGGCTCCCTCACCCGCTACGCATCAGCAATCAATCGAACGGCACCGCCAGCCCCGACTGCACTGCACTTGCCTCAGAAGACCCATATGAAATGATAACGCTCCCTTAGCAAGTCAGCCTAAGTACACTTTCACAATATTATAATTTTTGAAAGTGTAATGAAATGTAACACTTTCTAAAATTTTGTATTGTGAAAAGGGGTACGTCGCCAACACAACAAAGGTAGCGCCGAAGCGCTACTCACCCTCTTTTGCCTACAAAAGAGGGACGTGGGGACATTCGTCCCCACCCACGTTTTCATTTTCAAAATTGTAGTTCACATTTCCCACCCGCCCACCCATTTGTGTATGCTGTTATGTAGACATATATAAGACGAGAACGATGTACTACTACCCATATGAAATGATAACGCTGCCTTTGCAAGTCGGCCTAAGTACACTTTCACATTAGTCAGTTCACCTTATCTGGGTAGATGCCCAATCCATGGGGGACTTAGACTGCGTTCACATCAAGTTCCCCCAAAGCGAACCGCGCTCAACAACAGTGCACAAATATTTGTGAAGCATGCGTTTCGGGTTGCTTCACGAAAGCTTGTCATGAACGATCTTGAAGTCGACGGGGTTACATGCACCTCATTGGTTATGATAATTCGCTCACACTCGTTTAGGTGTGTATCCACATCCGCATGGCATGTGGAGTGGGTGTGGTCAGCTACAAAACTGCCATGCTGGACCCAAATATCCACACTTTTTGGCCTCTTGGGGCTACTTCGCTTGGGGGAACTTGCTGTGAACGCCAACTTAGTGTAGGAACAGGTTAAGGTAACAATAATACTGAGAAATTAATAATACTGGTATGTGTGGACATCTACAGGGATGCATGTACAAACCAATCTGGCCATCTACGGCCAGGGATGCACGTAGAAACCGGCCTTTCTCAAGTCAGTCAGCAACCTCGTCGCATCGTCACGTGTGTGGATGAAATATTCCTCAGTCCACATAAATTCCGTCATGCTCGGATGGTGATAATGCACCTCAACAAACAGCTCGTCTACGATCGCTGCCATGCAGGGGTTGGAGATCCAGTGCTGCAGTATCTCCCACTCGTACCCCTCTATATCCATCTTCACCACGACCGAGTCCTCCTCCTTCAACTGCAGGTCCTCTAGCAACCACCTGGTCACATTCACCATGTTCTGGGACGGGGAGGGGGGGAGACGGGGGGGAGAGGGTTGGACAGCCAGTGCTGCAGTATCTCCCACTCGTACCCCTCTATATCAATCTTCACCACGACCGAGTCCTCCTCATTCAACTGCAGGTTCTCTAGCAACCACCTGGTCACATTCACCATGTTCTGGGACGGGGAGGGGGGGAGACGGGGGGGAGAGGGTTGGACAGCCAGTGCTGCAGTATCTCCCACTCGTACCCCTCTATATCCATCTTCACCACGACCGAGTCCTCCTCCTTCAACTGCAGGTCCTCCAGGAACCACCTGGTCACGTTCACCATGTTCTGGGAGGGGGAGGGGGGGAGAGGAAGGGAGGGAGAGAGGGGGGGAGGGGGGTAGGAGAGTAGGAGAGGGGGAGGGGAGTAGGAGAGGGGGGGAGGGGGGGGTGGGGGGAGAGGGGGTGGGAAGAGGGGAGAGAGGGAAGAGTAAGTCTGAGTCCTCTTCCTTCAGCTTCAGGTCGTCCTGAAACCACCTCGTCACGTTGACCGTGTTCCGGGTGGGGGAGGGTGGGGAGGCACTTTTGAGAATTCTCAAAAGTGACTCCGGGCGGGGCAGGGTGGGGAGGTAGGGGAGAGAGGAGAAAGGGGGAGAGGGATTGGGGCACGTCCTGACACCACCTCGTTACGTTGACCATGTTCCGGGCGGGAGTGGGGGAAGAGGGGAGAACAGGGACGGAGACGGGAGGTGGGAGGAGGAAAGGGATAGCACCTGGTCACGTTCACGGTGTTGTGGGTGGGCACAACGAGGAAGGAGGCAAAAATTAGCAGAGGGAAGAGCAGGTCAGAGGGGAAGAGCAGGGAAGAGGGGAACAGAACAGCAGGGCAGAGGGGAAGAGCAGGGCAGAGGGGAACAGCAGGGCAGAGGGGAAGAGCAGCATTTGTGTCAAGACTTTGTCCAGCCAATGAGGCCTTCATCTCATCGCTCGTGAGCATCACCTCGTCAAGTCATTTGCTCATGACTGAGCCCAGCACCCTCATCCACCACCCTCATCCACCACCCTCATCCAGGAATGGGCAGGAAGAGAGCAGAAATGGGGGGGGAACAGAGCATGAAAGGGGGGGGAAAGAGCAGAGAGAGGGGTGAACCGAGTAAGAAAGGGTGGAAAAGAGCAGAAAGAGGGGTAAACCGATCAGGAAAGGGGGGGGGAGGGAAGAGGAGAAAGAGGGGAGGACCGAGCATGAAAGGGGGGGAAAGAGCAGAAAGAGTGGTGAACCGAGGAAGAAAGTGGGGGAAAGAGCAGAAAGAGTGGTGAACCGAGGAAGAAAGTGGGGGAAAGAGCAGAAAGAGGGGTGAACCGAGCAGGAAAGGGGGGGGAAGAGCAGAAAGAGTGGTGAACCGAGGAAGAAAGTGGGGGAAAGAGCAGAAAGAGGGGTGAACCGAGCAGGAAAGGGGGGGGAAGAGCAGAAAGAGGGGTGAACCGAGAAGGAAAGGGGGGAAAAGAGCAGAAAGCCAGCAACGGGGGGACACGGCGCCTACAGAGCAAAACAGAAAGGCCCTGATTCGGCCTAATTCAGGTGCTCCTAAGCTTTCTTCTTTGAAATGTATTTACCTTCTTGTGGTTGTCTTTGGAGACACAAAGAAGCTGTAAGGATGAACGCGTAGCAGCAACCATTGTGGGAAGTCTAAAATCACTTATTGAGAATTCTCAATCGGAATCTCGTTTTCGCCTTCTTACCTGCTCCCGGTTGTCTTGGGAAGAGACGTAGAAGTTGTAGGGATGAACGCGTTTCAGCAGCCATTGTGGGAAGTCTGCTGGGCCTTCGTGTGTCGGACGCAGGCGTGAATTCTGGCCCAAATCAGTTGCGAGTACCTAGAGCAGTTCAGAGTGATGCGGAAGGGTTTTGAGCGGTTGTAGAGGGGTAATCAGATTACTTTATTAGATACGTTAACCCTAAAGAATATGTGAATTTTCGGAGGATTATATGTATTTGACAAGGCAGGAGAGGTGAAATAGGGGGAAGGGGATTGAAGAAAGTGGGGGCCGGGTATGGGGTACAGGGGCTGGGCTAAACGAAACGATCTACGCGTGGGGATGCGTAATGTGGGGATGCGTAATGTGGGGATGCGTAACGTGGGGATGATGAAGACGTGGGCTGTTTCCTGATTGACAAGATTGCACGCCTTTATCCCCGTGTTACGCATCACAAAGGAACACAACAATAATACTCTGGCAGAACCTATGCCGGCGCATTTTTGTATGAAAAACTTACAGCCGATGCATCCGTTCCCCACAGTTTGCCCTTACCTCCTCCTCCTCTCCCCTCATCCCCTCCAACCACTCCCTCCCCCCCAGAAACCCAAATGTACCCCCTCGCCAAGCGTCTCTCCCAGCCCAGTTTGCTGTTCACGTGCCTTTCTGACCCCTCCATTATTCATTTAGTTCCGTATTTATATGTACCGTATATCACACACCTTTGTTACTGATGCATTTGGCATTTGGAACACGCCCGGATTTGCTTCCACCGCATGAACCTCGGTGAAATCGAGGGGATACATTTGGAGAAACCAGGTTACACTCGTGCTGAACGTCTTGGCTCCGAGGTCGATATAAACCCTCCGCTTCCTGTGGGAACGCGGAATTCAAGGGCAGATTGGAGATACAGGAGGCAAGCAAGCATGAGGTTTTTCTGTGACGACTGTGCATTTCTTTAAAATCGTGGATTTCGGTGAAATGAAGGGGGCTTAGGGTACATGACTTCGTGGATTACGAAGAAACCAGGTTACGCTCGTGTTGAACGTCCTGACTATGAAGTCGATGTAAACCCTCTGGCTCCTGTAGAAACTCTGAATTTGGGGGCAGATTGGTCATTCCCCGAGGGTACGAAGGTGGGGGAAAGAAGGCAAACAGTTGCGAATACACTTGGTTTAAGCCGACGCCACAGACGATAGAACTACCCCCAGTTAGTACTACCACTACTATTTACTATCGCCACGCACCTTGCGTGCATTTTAGGATCCAAGGCGCCGCGCATCAACGGCAGAACCTGCGTCTTATCTTCCACGTCTTCCACGAACCCGAGGGTCCACCCCCGGCGGAAGTTCAGATGCGCATCGAGCTCCTCTATAGGCAGCCCCGCTACAAGGCACGGAGAAACGCGGGGTGTCCACTGTGGGTATTTGTGGGGGAGTCGGGCAGGGCGGAGGGAAAATGTAAAATTTCTTGAAGGAAGATGCTCCGTGGGGGAGTGGCATGGATTCCGTTTGATGGGGAAAATCTCATTTCAGGTTAGCCGGAGAATGCGAGCAGGCATGGGGGAATGCAGGTTTGCTAGGCGTGACGGAAAGAACTTCTGAAGCACCGATACGAACAAGAGGATCGAAAGAAACTCATGCGCCAGATTGTAGGGCGCACTCGAGTGCGCCGCTTGGGGCCAAGAGTGTTGGAGAGATGTGCGGCGGGGAGGTGCATCGCGAAATTCCATGTGGCCACAAAATGTACACGGTAGCTTTTCTTGCGGGAAAGCTGCGGAAAACCTTCGGAAAATCACCCAGTGTGAAAGTTGCGAGAATGTCACGTGTATGACGCGACAAAAAGCTACGGAAATGTCGCTTCCGCCCCTCAAACGGCCTAAACCACTTCGTGTCCCGCGTGGTAATGAGCGTTACAGTGCGGTTGAGAAATTTCAGGTTAGCGACATAATCGTACGGCCTACGAAATGTTACATGTGTGGTTGAAATTTCTCAAACCTGGAATTGAAACCTCCAATTCACAAGCAGCACGAATGTTTCACACCAACGAGTATTTCGAATTTGATGGTAATGTCGCCAACCACAAATTTCCAAAACTCTCCTTCTTGTCAACCAATCAATATATATACAGTGTATGGAACGGGGGAGAGGAATGCGAGGACGGAAGGGGAAACCAGGGGGAAGTAATGCGGGGAATGGGGAGGAAATGGGGCGAAAGGGGGGGGAGGGGGCAGGGCGGGGAGGGAATAGCTGTGGGGGGAAGGGAGGAGAGGGGTGAAACTGATTGAGCCGACCTAGTACTGTCTCGACGCGGTTACCTAAGACACCCCAGGTCGGGCTTCTGAGGTCCTGTAATCATCACGAAAAGTCGGGCTTCGAGAGAACAAATGCTCTTGCTACTAGCTAATATTGCCACCTTAGTAAACGCCCACGGATCTGGGAGCGCGCCGCCTTGAACTGGACGGCTGGTTGACAACCAATCAGTGCAGGACGCTGTCTCTCCCGCCGCACCGCCTCCGCCGGCCAGCGAATCGGAAGCGCCGGCGATTCTGGCTTCGTCTGCAAGTTTCAGCGTGAGAACACTGCCTTCGGGTGGCCCATCTGTGAGTCCCATTGCTGCCGCCAAGACATTGCCGTTCTCTCCGCAGCCATGGGGAAACTGAAGGGTGACGATCGAGAGCGAGCAGAGGAGAGTGGTCGCGATTATCGCCCAAGCGAGCGCGACGGGGTACGGTATTATCGACTCGACATCGCGAAATTGGGAAGTGCGGAAAGTAACCCTGAATACACTCTTGCACAACTTACCCGATAGTACACCCCCGGCACTTTTGAGTCAAGGTTTTAGAACTGCGTGGCGACAGTCACTGGCGTAGTAACTTCCGAGTCACTTTCCCGCGCCTTTCTGCACAAACTCAGTCAACCGTTTAGCAACGCCACCCGCATCTGCGCACATGCTAAACAGTCACGGGCTGCTCCACCCAAATGTTCACCTGCCCATACCGTGTCAACCAACTCGAAAGCGACGAGCACGTAACCCCAACTGCCAATCCGTACGGGCTTCCCCACGTGGCATACTGTTTCAACTCCCACGTCCACGTAAGCGTACATGCAGCAAAACGTACAGCAACCACAACCGTTGGATGGACACCCTGGTCACGCAATCACTACGGTACACGTGTCGCCTGTACATAAACTCGCATAGCACGTTACGCATTCGCGCACACAAACTCGCACATCCTTGCAAGCTCACCGCGCTCCGATCTGCACCGTACATCTGGTGGTCAAGCATCCTTCCCACACCGTACATTTGGATGCATCCCATAGGGCAGCAAACCGCATATCACGCCAACGGTAGCCACTACCCCTCATCCACGCGGCCTCACTCCACTTGCGCATCGTGCGTCCGCACCAGGCGCGCCAATGCATAAACACCGTACACCTGAACCAATGCCACCGTTTCGTGCACTTCGCGAAAAGTCTCGCCTACCATTAGGGTTGCGCTCGCAACTAGATGACGACGACACCTGCGTCGTCCATCTGTATACATCGTAAACACCACCGACCTTCCACGTCACGCACAATTAATCCATCTTACCCGTACACTTGCAACCCGATCATGCAATCGCACAAACGGTAACCGGTTGCCCTACCCATCGTGGCTCACGTTTGCGACGTATGCGCGAACCACTCACAACCGTGCATTTGTCGCACCCGTATAGCATATCACAGCGCACATCCCACCGTCGGCCTCATCTTCACGCTCGTCCACGATTGTGACACGGGTGTACAAGCGCGTGCCACCCTCCCATACCATTGGCTCCACGTCATCCCTTAGCCTTGTTGCGGTCCAACCACATGTCCACTTACGCGCACCGCTGCGTCCTTTACGTCCAACGTACAGGTGACACATGGCACACACCGTAAAATTCGCCGCAGAATGCGGCGCATCCCTCTCCGTCCCGCACATCTGGGCGACGGCGGGTTCGCTGTGGCATGCACCATATAGTTTCTGTTATGTGCTGTCATATGCGAGCAATACCCCAATTGAAGCTTTTCCCATTAACAACAAACGCACACACAAACATACAACGCCTCCACGCCTATGTCTAACCCCCCCACATCTTCAACACTGACACATGCTTAACCCAGGTGCGCGTTCCACAGCTACACATAACCCTGTCACACAGCCGCAAATCATCGTACACACGCAGCCAATCTACTGTCCCCGCAACGGTAAAACCCACGCTTCCCCCATCCCCTCCACGCCAGCCGTCCTACTCATCCCCCACGGATGCCGAAAGGTCGTCGTCCCCCACTGGCTCCTCCGGCTGGGCTGCGCCGGCGGGCCTCATGTGCTCCAGGCCGCACGCAGAGATGCGCAGACCATGGCGCCCCCAGATCCACGCCTCCCGCTCCGCGTCATACTCCGGGTTGCGGATCCTGATCGCCCTCTCCACGGCCTCCTTAACCAGGACCTTGAGGCCGTCCACAACGTGGGCGTTTCCGCCGGCCGAGTTGGAAAGCCGGCCTTTCCTCTGCTCCCAGTAGAGGACGCAGTCGGAGACCTGCGCCATCACGCATCGTGTCACTCAAATGGTCCGACGTAAACAACACAGATGCATGGCACACATAGAGCGCACAGACTCACCACATGCTCCAACCAGGCCAGGTGGTACACCTTCAGCGTCATCACCAGGCCGGCCTTCTTGGGCCTGAATGCAGCCTTCGCACATGTCGCGAACGCCCGAGAGGCGAACGGCATGCCATCCCGGTCTATCGCCCATGTCGTGAGCACCAGTGTTTCTGCATTCCCACGTGCATGCAGGTCAGTGTCAACGGCCGTCACGCACGAGGGTGACAGCATAACGATGCGGTGGCAAGCCTGGTTGCTGGGGTAGACCGCACTCACCAGGGGGGTCAGCGCCGAACCCAATGCGCTCCCGGATCTTCTCAATACTGCGTTCCTTCTCCGGTGCCCATGGGCTGGATGCGTCCCGATCGTCGCGGAACAAGCCGAGCTTGGGAAGTGCAATGTCGCGCACGCGGGCGGCAGCCCGCGTCTTCCACTCAGAGAGTGTCTTGTTGAGATCAGCGCGACGCGACTTGTCAGCCGCCAACGCCAAACAGGCGAAGCTATGCGGCAGGCGGTCCAGCACCGCACACACCCCGTGTGTCTTGTCGTCGCTGCTCGGGTAGAAGGTCATCATCGACGTCGGCCTGTTGAGAAACATGTGCACCCTGGCCAGCTCGCACACCCGCTGCGCACATAAGGTATACACAACAACATGAGTGGCGCACACCGGTATGCATGACGGTTGAATAATGGAACCGGACGGGAACGGGCCCGCTCACCTTCCACGCCTTGTCCGCAGGCAAATGCTCCAAGGCGCGCTGCAGAATAGGAGACTTGGCCGTGCGCATATGACGGCCACCAGATCCATGTGTGTCGTCATCGTCGTCCTCGCCGTCATCGTCTGACCCGCCACTCCACGTCTCGCCACGCTTACGCTTCGGGTTCATACAACCCTGCCCCGGGTCTCTCTGCCTGGTCGCCTTACGCTTATGAGAGCCACTGGACGGCCGAGACATCGCATTCAAGAACAGCGCCTCCAACCGCGCGTTCTCCTTGGCGCTCTTGTCCTGAGCCTGAATGAGTTGCTCGAGGATACGGCTCGGTATGCGCACGTCATCGCTGTTGGCGTCCACTGTGTCCCAGCGTGTGGGTCCCACCAGTCCGTCCACGTCGTGATTAGCGCGAGTGTCAGCGTTGGCCGCGGATGGTCCCGCACGCCCATCGTCGTCCGTCTTCCCCCCCTTAGCGGGCTCGGCTGATTCTTCGCCTGATCCTGATGCCGACGTGTCTCCGCCTTCCTCGTCCTCATCCTCGCTGCGCTCGGACGAATCTGCACTCTCCGCCCCAGTGCCGTCATCTGTGGGTGACAGAATGACAACAGGCGCACAGAACCGCAAGTTAGCATACGCGCGCAACAACCGCCGCGAACGTCGTGACTGATCCACTCATGATCGTAATGCATACCTTCCTCTGGCTGCACCACCTCCTTCCCCTTCTTGCGGAAGCTCAGGCTCTTGGGTAAGGGCGCCCCACGGTTCCCGTTGGACAGTCGACCTCGCGGCATCGTCAACTGGTATGACGCTCGCAGGTACGCAGGCGGGAGCGAGACACGACGGGAGCGTCCCCCAGCTCGGGTATCCTCAGAAGCAATTGAGGTATCCATTGAAGCAACTGAAGTATCCAGTGAGATGCGCACATAATGACGCGATAACCACTTTTCTACGTAGCGGTGAGATGCTCAGCTTCCATGACACTCCGCTGCACCGAATACATGAGGAGGTTGGTACCCAATACTGCCTCGTACACATCTGGATGACCGCAATCCAAAACCCCCAATTACAGAACACCACGTCACTCGCACATTGACGGGTGTCCACCCCCGAACCATACACTGCGCACATCATGTGGTCACAACATTGTCCACATACCTTCATTGTGTGGACACTCGTCACGGAACTGGTTCCGGTATTCGTTGAGGCCCTTACTCACTTAAACATGTAGTACACCAAGTTCACGATTGCATTACCAGCTAACGGTGTTTGTCGTTCATACTTTGCACGCACAAGACTCTTCATTCCAAATGCAACATTATCCGAAAGCTACACAAGGGTGAGCAACTACGTGCACGGACATGTTTCAACCACACATTGACTCCACACCAATTCTGCAGCCATCTCTGATGTCTCCTCCTCAGCTCCAGTGTCTTCCCTCCGCTCTTCCTGGTCATTGTCCCTTGCACCTCCGCCTTGCTCGTTTGTCACTGGGGCCGTCCCCCCACTCTCAGCATTGTCGGTTGCCGCTGGGTCGTTGGTAGCTATGTGGTCGTGGTCCACAACCCTGCGCCTCTTTGATGCACCTGTTGCACCCCCACGCTTCCTCACTCGTTTCAACCGCTGGCCCACGCTCTCCAGCGCCTCACGCCAACTCCTCCACCTCCACCACTTCCTCGCTTCCACCAGGGTCTGTAAATCTTCTTTGGTGCACCCCCGCAGCGTTGCCTTCTCTGCGGCCGACAGGCTGACGGTGTTGGGTATCCTCTCGCTAGGCCTCAGCACGAACGCACCGGCGGCGTATGCAAATGCCGCCTCCTCCTCAGTGGTGTACCCTCCCAGTCTCTGCTGCTTGCGCTTCCCACGTTCTTTAAACAGAATCTTGACGCCGTACTTGCCGGTGTTCGGATCCAGCTTCACACCCGTGTACCTGGTTGCACATGTATCTTCGCCACCGTCCTCGTCATCTGAGTCTGACACGAGATCCTCCTCTTCGTCGGCCTTCGCCGTCTCCTGCCCAAGCCTGTCTCCCCACACGTCAGGTCCAGCTGGCACACCCGTGCCGGACAGCAGCCGCGGGCGCGTCAACATCCAGGGAGGTATGGCCCCGTTTGAGATCAGCGGGTTCTGCAGCAGGCTCGGTGTCGGCGCACATGCGGCGAACGTGGAGGCCAGCGCCACCTAGGTGAGGTTGCGCACGCCGTCCTCCTCAGGACTGCTGTCATCTCGCCTCTTCCGGGCAGACGGACGCTGGGGTGTGCGTGGCGCATGCTTGTTGCCACCCGCCTCTGTTTTCGTGCCGTTCCCCGCGACCCCTCCATGCAGCAGCAGTTGGGTTGCAGCGGACACCACCTCGTCCCGGCTCAGGCCCACGAAGTTGGCGATCACGGTGAAGCTGGCGTCCAGGTACCTCACATCGTTATGCAGCGATGCTATGCGCCTCGTCATCTCCGTAAACCGAGCGTCCTCATCATGGCGAGTGTTTGGCGCCTGCCTCCCATCTCCCTCCGCAGTGTTTCTCACCTGCACCACTGTCCCCTCTGCGGTAACCAGGCCTTCGTCTTGCGGCGGGACTTCAATCCCCAGTTCCTGTAGTTGTTTCAGAAGCTCTCCGCCAGCGTGTGCACACAAGTCTCGGCGCATCTCCCGCCTGTATTGGTGCGGTGTCACACCCTGGAACCAGAGGCCCGAAAACACCGTGGCGAAGTCGGTATGCACCAGGGTCTTGAGGTACTGACAAACAAAAATCCCACAGTCCTCCTTGTTCGGCTGCTGTGGCAGCTTATCCTCCTGTCATAAGGGTAACGAATACCGAAGTTATCAGTATGCACACCTGTGTATGCAACCAGCACAGCTGTGTACAGAACGAACGAGGCGTACTCACCCGTAGAATTACGCAGTCCGCCGCGCTCAGCGTCCTGTCCACAACCTCCATGTTAGCGTTTGGGTTACTCGCCTTTGCGAGTTCGGACAGCAACCTGCATACAAGAGTTCGTCCGGTATTAACAAAATTGAGCATGGACGTATATGCTATGCGCTTCGTTATGCCGAAACCCCTACTCACAGCTTCGTGCCTGCGAAAATCTTGTGGCTATTTCGATTCTTGATCGCGCTGTCCAGCAAGACCAAAGTCAGGCGCTCCTTGCCCTTGGTTCTCTGCGTCTTGGTGAGCACCGATGGGTTTATAGCGATGACGAGGGAATAGTGCTCACTGCGCGCAAGAAGATTGGGGTGAAACGGGATCGGTGTTAAACAGCAGTCGGTTGCACATCACGGAAACCAACCGGGAACACTGGTAAGATGAGTACACTCACGACTCTAGGACCGGGATCGCAAGATAATCGTGTTCCAAAAGCGGCCGCCCACTCCCCAGCGTTAACGGCACTCCATGCGCAGCTGTCGTCTGTGAATAGGCCTTGCAGTCCATGGCGGCCCATGTCTTGCCGTCGCGGAGCGACGGCTTCCTGATGCTAAGCAGCCTGCGCAGAGGTGAACACGAACAAGTTAACACACCGTGCTACAGTGAGATGCGCAGAAAATCGTACAAAAGCGCGCGCATGTGCGGGGCGGTCAGCACGGTACTTACACGTTGTGAAAGTCCACCACGCCATCGGTGATCCACTGTTCGTCCTCGATCGACATGAAGTCGTCCTTGTCCACCTCACATCCGACACCGCGGTGATTCATGAGCCTGATGTTGCAGTAAGATGATTTCGCATAGTTCCGGGCGATAGCGGCCACCACATCGTCCGGCACCGGCTCTGTCGCCTTTTCCACGACATGGGTCGCGAACCTAGAAGCCCTTCCGCCGTCCTTTGTCGGCGGACACGGAGGTGATTTTTTGTCGCCCTTGGTCGACGCTCTGGTTCTGGGAACAGACGGGTCAGGATCTTGGTCATCGCCGCTGCTGCTAGTCTCCGGTTCATGGAACCGGTTGCGCTTAGAGACAGACTGTTTAGGAATCGCCATCAAGAACGGACACTGAATACCATGCGGAGGAGGCCGGCCTTAATACGAGGTGAGCACGGAGGGGATGACTGGGAGAACACAGCCACTCACGGATCTCGCCTGGAGGGAACTACTCTGATTGACGGGTGGGCCAAGATGTCGCCTATAACCTGGTGGGTGTTGGGCATGCATAGGCGAAATGGTATACACCGTTGGATGAGATGCGCATGCGATGTCCACCTGTGACTCGATAACAAGACTGGATGTGATGGTGAGGCAGCATGCATATCCACGTGTTGTAAACCAAGGGGTTCGGAACACGAGGATGCGAGATTTAGGGTGGGTCAGCAATTCTGGTGCATGGAACACCATTTGGTTTTCCTTGTACAATCCAAGTGACGCGGAATCCGATAACGGCGTACGCGGACGTCAGCACTTGGGTTGTTGGGCCACCAGCGCGCACTAAGTATGGGTTGTACACGATGTAGTCGTGTACTCTTAAAAGCGGAAGTAAAATTTGTAGGTTGTCGTAAACAATATTGCAATATGCATAACGGGTATATTACGTGCAAAAACAATACACAACGTCTTATGGAGCCAGCTGTGTACAATCCCACAACGTCAGTTATTGGCTATTTCTATTTCTGGTCGTACTAATGACCGCGCTGATAATTCCGGGTCAAAAACGGGGAGTGTTATTTACCGGACCACCGTTACACATTCTGCAATTATAATATGGTTGTGCATTATGGTTGGGTGTATAATGTTTACCGGTGACAATCGAACAGATGGTATGTGCACACTTTTCAAGGTTCTGTGCACATGAGTGTGCACCATGTTGATCCTCTGAGTTGTGTTAGAGCACACCTGTGGCCAGTCCGAGTTTCTATCGCCACGGTCTCTAGGGTTTCAAGGTTGCAGGATGACGGGGAACAGTTGCATGGTGTGCGAGACGGTGTTTAAGGACGACAGCCGGTTACAGTCACATGTCGCTAACGGTGCAATTTGTCGCGCAGAGTTGAAGAGGAAACGGGAGAGTCTTTTGTTGGCGGCATATTTGGAAGCAATTGCCCGTGACGGAGAGAGTAGACCAAACACACCGCCCGCATCGCGGCTTAAGGATAATGACGGCAGTGTTGTATCGGTTGCTCCGACCGCCTCTATTCCCGAAGTTAGCCTGGTTAGCGTCGCGGATACACCAGCTGACGGCGAGAATGCGGAGTCATCGGAACACAGCGAGAGGGCGGAGATTTTCGACACACTGACCGAGTTGTATCTATTCTTCCGTGACGCCGATCTTTCGCACCGGGAAGTTAACCGTCTGTTACACATTTTCCGCAACCCGCGCTTCAACTTACGGGCCCTCCGACGATGGCGCAACTGGGTGGACGTGCGCCGATGGGGAATGGCGCGCGCTCCAGCAGACATGGTCCCGTGGAAAACGGAGGAGATAGTGGTGCGGGGCCCCAAAGGAATGCAAATGAAGCTGCTACTGCACTACCGCGACACAGAGCTGGTTCGTAAACGGCGGCCACACCCGCATCCCCCGTCGTCGTCACTGGGAAGGAATCTTGCCGCTCACTCCTGATTATATCCCGATGCGCGCAGATTCTGAAGAAGCTGGTGCGGACGTTCTCATCCAAGAAAGGGTTCGTGTGGAAACCTAAGAAGATTCATCGGAAGAAGAATGGCGAGAGGGTATTCGAGGGGCCGGAGACGGGCGATTGGATGCACGCTGCTCAGGTAAGTGCATCGGTAGGCCAGTCCACATTACATGTGAGTCCCAGAATGCTATAAGACGGAGTCTAACATTTGTGCAAGGGCATGTATGGTTGGCATGGCAGAAGGAGATTAATGACAGTGAGGCACTCATACTAGGCGTGCTGATATACAGTGATAGCACCCAGGCATCACGGAATGGTCGGAGGAACGCGTGGCCGGTGCTGATCTCGCTTATCAACATACCAGCGGAATTACGTGGGGTGGAGCCTGGGCACACGTTGGCGGCGGTGCTGCCATTCCCACCCGAATGGGCATCGCCCACGGAGAAGACGCGGGTTTTCCAGGAGGCATTGAAGATCATCCTCGCGCCCATCATGCGAGAATCTGCAATGTACTGAGGTGCATATGCTACACGAGCAGCAGGCCAGTGGGGACCCCAGCAGATATTGCCCCGTGTTATGACCGCGTATTGTGTGTACGTTCCTAACCTAACTCACGGCCACGTGTGCATAGTCACAATGTGCAGCGGGCCAGTTCGCTTCTTCTACTGCACGGACGCGGACGGGAAGGTGCACAAAGCGGTCCCTTGCCTGTACGGATACCCTGCCGACTTTCCGGAGTCCAGCAGAGCTTCTGCGACTCTTCAGCAGGGGACGCACCGGCCGTGCGCTAACTGCTATGCAGACAAGGGGGAGTTGACCATGATGGTGGGGAAGGCCGATCCGCGTACCCCCGAGATGCAGAGGGACATTGTCCGCCAGATCCTGGCGTGTAAGAAGAAGGGCGACGCTGACGCCGTGCGGAGGCTATGGTCAACACATCCGATCGAGGTGGGCTAAACCCTGAGGGCGTTTGCGTGCCTGTAGTGTACGGTGGAACCTAATGACGCGGTCGTGTCTTTGGTTGGACATTGCAGTGCGTACTTCACAGGTGGAATTTCGCGGACACAGAGTGGGGCAACGTGTATCTGGCATGCCTTGCAGACACACTGCATGTTCTGGACTCCGGTGTGCTGATCCACATGATGGACACCTACATCGAACCGCTTGGGAAGGTTGAGATGCGGACGCTTGAACGGTGAGCAGACTGTAGCCTGCATGTCATATCCTGGTGGGGTCATTTGGGTTGTAGTACACCATGTGTGCAGCGCTGATGGGCACGTCGAATACTTGGTGTGCGCAGACGCAAGAAGGAGTTTAAGGCCATCACGCCTAGCGTGCTCCTCCGAATCCCAGGGGGCTCATCGTTCTTTAGTTCCGGCGCAAACTACGCTGCGTTCGAGCACAGGAGCATGATGCAGATAATGCCGATCTTGGTGGCTGACGAGAGCGCGTTGAAGGGTGATGAACCGGGAGAGCTGCGCGCGTTGCAGGTCAAAGCGTTCAGGCTGTTTGCTGTGTTTTACAAGGCGTTTCTGGCTGTGGACCGGCACACACATACCACCATTGCGATTGCACGGCAGCATGCGATAGCGTAAGTGTGTGCATTAGGTGCATCGCTGGTCGGAATTGCGGTGGGTTTGTTGTGGCGGCCGTCGGGTGGCACACGAGTGTGCATTGACTGTTGCCTGCCATCGTGGACGATGTGGCAGGTTGGTGGCGTTGCTCCCGAGAGCATTTCCAAAGCAGGCATCCCACTGGAGACTACCAAAGATACACATGATAAGACATTTACTGGACAACGTGGTGGAGCGCGGGATGCCGCACCATTATTCCACTGAGATGTGGGAGCGCACGCACAAGGGCACGGTCAAGGGTCCAGTTAGAGGGAGCAACTGGAGCGACATTCCGCGCCGAATCGTGGAGGAGGAGGTGCAGAGAGAGGTGTACCGTGAGGTGGCTGCAGACGCCGGCGGTGGGCGGCAGTATGCGTCTGCATTGCGCGAGGTGCGTAGGGGAGTGGTTGGTGCTACGATGGCCATTCATTGTGTAATGTTGCACGGGTGCCCATGTACGAGCGGAGCCTGAGGCAGGTTGCGGCTTGTTGTGGGAACGTGGTTGTACACGTGCAGGCAATCAAGACGAGGAAACCGGTGCTTACAAAGAAGTATCGGATCATGCGCATAGGCGGGGCGTCGGATCCGGTGTACGATGAGTACACAGCCGCGCTTGGAGACGAGATGAAGGGGATGGCCGCGGAGTTTAAGGCGTTGGACCTGGCTACCAACAACGTGCAGGTGTGGTGATAATGCTGTCGCACATACATCTCGCACCTGGGGCTTGCACGTTGGTTGCCACTGCACTCATGATGCTAAGAGATGTTGGATTGTACACAACCGCGTGACAGGTCCACACCGCGGTGGCCATTCCGCGCACAAGAGGCGGCGAGCTGGTGGCCAAAGGGACGTTTGTGAAGGCATCTCCACGAGAGAGGTGGTACTTGAACGTGGCACTTCTGAACAACAAGAAGGGGGACTGGTATGCAAGATGTCTGTGCATCTTCAGGGCGCTTGACCGTGATGGGGAGTGGAAGGGATACGCATACGTGAGGTACTACGAGAGGGCGGGAAGCTGCAAGCTTACAGGGTGCACGCAGCTGCACAAGAAAGTGGAGAAGGTGAGGTATTCGGTGGTGGAGCTGGGCAGCCTGCAGAGAGTTGTGCACGTGTGCCCGTCGTACAGCAACAACAAGGTGCAATTAGTTAACAGGTTTTTGCTATGTGAGTGACGGCACGTGTTGGTATGGTGGAACTTAGGAATGATGGGTACAGGATTGCAGGGAGTGTAGTCAACTGTGGTGGGATGTTTATACTTTGGGTGGTTCAGGTTAGTGTTGACGCTGATGTGTCGCCACATATTGTGATGAATAAATGTGATATGGTGTCCGTGGGTGTACATTGGCATTTTGTGCATGGGTACGCGGTGGCAACCCTAAACCCGAAACGTATATGTTGGTGTTTAAACAGTGAGATTATAGTGGTAGCGGTCAGTAAACCCGGCCTATAACGGGTCTTGGTACGGTTGACGCTTGTGCGGTCGAAGTTGACGCGCTTCAATGTGTGGTGGTGTGACCGACCGAACACCCGCCGTTGGTTGGTCGGATACGGGTGACGCGTACGTGGCTTCGATTCGCGAGGTGGCCTATCTGAATGTCACAGGTGGCCGTTTCACATGTGTCCGTTATCTTGGAGCGACGCAGGAGTTGTGCTCGCAAACTTGTGTGGCGCTTGTCAACCCTCGTACGTAGTGTGCGTACGAGGGCAAACCGGGGTACGTTCCAGTGAACTACAACGTATATAGCAAGACTGGGTGCCATCCCCCAACGCATACTTGCCCACCTGGGTGACACACAGCTTCAATGGGTGACCTGAAGGGACTGCTGGCTACTGCGCACCCGGACGATGTGTTCTGCTTCCACGAGATTAATTTTCTTCCGAGCCGCCTCCCGAAGACATACATTCCAGACAAGCGTAATGTTTGCGAGCGGATTGTCAGCATCGGCATTCTTTACAACGCGACGGGCAGTTGTTCCGCGGTGCCACTGGTGGTCCTATCGCCGTACGATAGGCCCGAGCGCAGGCGGGGGCGCGCGGCATCGCGCATGGTGGCAGTCCGATATACGCACCGCGGCCGGTTGACTCCGGAGGTAGGTGACAATTACACCTCGCTGTGCACCATGTCTGTGTCATGTTTGCAACGTACATGTGTGGGCCGACACACTGATGGTGTTGTGCTGTCGGTGTATGATGCTATGCTCGCAGGTGTTCACGGAGTTTGTGGAGACTGTCAACGGTGTGCACTTTAGTCGTGATCGCAACACACTCATCCTAACCATACACGAGGCGCATCGCATCACCGACGAGGTCGCGCGCCCCGTCTCGGAGCACGGCTTCAGTGTGCAGCACCTCACCAACACCCGTGTCGTCAACATACGTGGGTCGGTTCCCGAAGGGGGCCTTCCGCACCTGCAGGGAGTGGAGGACGCGCTGAAGGCCCATTACCGCGTTATGCTGATGAAGCGGGCGATCGCGGCGAAGCGGTTCCAGTTCGACTATGCCGCTTCTATCGCCGACGTGGACTACGGACTCATGCTGGAGTGGCTGGGGGAATCGTGGACCCGTGTGCGCGCTGCAACCATGCAGAGGAGCTGGTGGCGCGCCGGATGCGTGCCGCCGAGCTGGCCGCCGCTGATGGCGTACCTGAACGACACCAGCGCGACGGGCATGTTTGAGCCGCTCATTGCGACTTGCGTCGAGCTGCAGTTGCTCATCGAGAAGTTTAAGATGAGGCCTGCGTGCTACATGACGGCGGCGGAGTTCGTCAACTGCGACGCGGGGCTCTGCGTGGAGCAGGGGTTCGTTGCCACACCTGCTGCAAGCGCGTCGGATGACTCGTCGGGCGAGATGAGCCTGCCAGACGGCCCGCTGCTGCGGGACGAGCGCAGCAGGCGGCGCGTCATTCGCAACGTCACAAACGCGTACGTGGAGCGTGCCGATGAGCTCGGCATTCCCCCGGCCCTCGTGCCAGCAGAGGTCGGCGCATCTAACCAGGAGGTGATTTCCCGCCTCGGCAGGACGCCAGTTAAGCGTGCGCGAGCGGGGCTGCGCACGGAGGACATGGCAGGCCCTTCGGAGCGCAAGGACGAGGACGACGAGTGATGCAGTTGGTTGAAGTTGTGCGGTGTGTGCGTTGTGCGTGGTGTGCGTAGTTGGCGTTGTGTGTGTGCGGTACCGTACGCCTGTGGATGACGGGGTTGGGGTTGTATTGCTGTTGTAATAGTGGTTGGAGGATTTTAATGAAAATGGATGAGTTGGGGAACCTTGTGAGACATTTGACGGTACGCGTGAACTTCGTTTACGGTCCGATGTTATAAGTTGACACAATGGACGCACCGCGGTCACCATAACGCGGGAATTTCATCGGGAAATTTGTGCACACGTTCGCGACTCGGGGTGTAGGTGTGCGCTCCGGGAATTCGATAGCTTTGCGACAAGGAAACTGTAATGTCAGTTTTTTGTGTCTGATGTACGCGCGCGTTTCCGGTGTTCAGAATGTTGCGATTTGCGTGCGTTGTTTTACCGCAGCTTTCCGCAACATTCACGCAAGGCAGAGGCAGAAAAACCTTCGGGGGCCAAAAAACGCAGTTTTCCTTTTTCGCGATGGACGGCCTTCATACGAGATATCATCGTTGAGGGCGACTCGTCACACGAAAACGAGGTTTTCCGGAACTGCTTGAAGTGATTCGTAGGATGGAATGAGTGCTGGAAGTATCACTGTAACGATGAGGGAACTGCGTCGGAGGGCGTATTCCTAGCTTCGGGTCATCCCGCTTTTATGTCATCCGAAATTGTGGGATCCAATCGAAAAATTCAAATCTCAAACCGCGGGCTTTCCGATTGGCTCCCACGGATGAGACAAAAAACGGATAGCGCGAAGCTAAGAATACGCCCTGACTGTGAGGAGGGAATGATGTAAGGGAATGCATGGGTACTGATTGCGCCTAAAGACACCAAGCTCTGATTCAATGCTTGAGTGGTTTGAATCTGTGTTGCTTTGCCACCTCTAAACGTGCTGACCTGTGTTGACATGCGGAATTAGCGGAATGCTGTTCCACTTCTGATTGACCTAGACTGACTTACGGCTGGTTTGTAGCCAGCTGGAGCTGACTCCATGAGCCCACTAGGAAGAGTATCGGTCCTGGGCCTCTCGAGGCGCACTTTGTACACAGTGTAAATTTGGCGCTGGAACCACGCCGAGGCGACATTTTGTGTTCGTTTGTGAAGCTTGGTGCCCCGAGTGTAACTCGCAAGACCCCGATACAGGTGCACGGGTACTGATTGCGCCTACAGATACCAAGCAATGGGCCCGATTGTCCATGGGTACTGATTGCTCCTAAGAGCGTGTCTGAGGTGAACGTCGACATACTCGACGAAACTTTGAGGGATGTCGAGGAATCCTGACGGTTGGAACGCTCGATCCGAGGGTTGAAACTCACCGACATTCCTCGACGAAACTGTGCATTCGTCGACGTTTCACTTCAGACACGCCCTAAATGACACTCGCAGCAGCAAGGTGTTGCCTTACAAGATTCTCGCGACATTGCAAACCCGGTTCTGTATACAGTAACATACACACACATAAAAGCTACTTTCCCCATACACCCTGCTAGTTAGACACATGCAAGGGATGACATCGTCATTCCCTCGCGCGAAGAATCCCCGCGAACTGACAACAATCACTGATTGGTGACTCGACCCTGCGTGGCTTCACGTCCATACTTGTCACGTCTTGGGACACCAATCAAGGCAGCGGTGATCACCACGTCACGGTCGCAGATCGCCAGTGGTGGCTGCTCCGAGGAGGTTGGACGCCAGATCAGCGATTTCCGTGAATACAGGAGCAGTCTCCTCTGTTTTTAAAAACGATTTGCCAGCTGACAAGTCGTTGCATTTTGTCGCGAAGGTGCTTGACATACTGTACAGGGTTTAGGGTGGGACTGATGGAGTGTGGTCAACATCACTCTTTGGTCAGTCCGAAAGTCCCGCGCAGGCTCAAAATTGTACGTACAGTGAGGCACCAGCAAAAATTTATGGTTCAATTTTCCCCGGACTATGTGTTTCGGGCATGGGAAAGAATGAGATACATATGCCACGACCACAATCGACTAGACAACCAACCACTCTGTCAGGCCAGGCAGACAGGTCAGGTCAGGTCAGCTGATGCGTTTCTTTCGCCGTGTAATGCCTCGGGGAATGCGTTGATGATGGGCTCTGCTAAAATGGCGGTACGCGTCGCCGACCTGGGCATAATTGCGCCCGAATATGCGACCCCTGAATGCAGCAGTGAAAGCATCTCTTCCCAAACTGCCCCACGCATGTACCCCCAAACCAAACCCAAACCATACCCCGCCGCCGTCGCCATCAGCATCACGGTTTCCTTCCACCCGCTGCGAACTGGAGGAGGTGCTTCGGCGCAAAAGGGATCCACTCCGCCCCACCACTTCTTCCGACCCCGGTGCACGCAACCCAGACTGCCTGAACAATGGCCCTCCCTCCCTGCGTGTTCTGAGAAAGGAGTTTCCCCTCCCGCCCCGCCGACGCACATCACATCACACATCATCATCATCATCATTCATCGAACGCGTCGGTTTTCCGCCTCAGTGGAAACCGCTTGGAACTGCTGGTGCGACCGTGCGAGGCAACCGCTTCACAGCCTGCGCTCCCCCAACCCAAGCTTCCCTTCCGCCAAACCCCTCGTGTCCTAGCGTGACCCCCCCTGAGGATTATTGATATGAAGTAACGCTATGAAGAAATTTTCAAAAGGTGGGTAGGCGCCACTGATTAAAACTCAACAAAAACACAAATATGTGTACATCACACCAAATCGACACCACAACAGTCCAACGCATACGGATGAATTTTATTTTCCTCTCCCCTCATCACATCAACACTGACCGAAAGCATGGAATGACACAAATTCATATCCGCAACATTTCCTCCTCACGAGCACATCTCTGCGCGCTCCCCTCCCTTCCGCCGTCTCTCCTCTCCGCTCCTCCTCATTCCACCAGGACTGCTCACCTTTTCCACTTCCATACGTTTCCTATCTCCTCAGCAACCCCCGACAGCGACAGCCAAACATCGCACCCTTCATTTCGCTACTTACTTACAATAATCATAACTTCTTAGCGTCCTGCTTCTGTCATCATCCGAAGCAAGGAGACACTCAGATTTAGGAATCACTAGCGTCGGTCCAGATCTTCAATTTTCGTTTCTCAGACGTTCTTAGTCCCTGGTCATGGAAGCCGTTCGTTGCGTTGCCGCTCTACGTCTCTCTAGCTTTCCCTCGCAAACTCTCTCCGCCAAGATTCCGCGACGCATCATCAAGGAGAGTCCATCCGTCCTTCGAGTATCGTGCGATTCATCCGCCGAATCGACCCTAAGCCGAAGCGCGCCGAGGAAGAGCTCCGAGGCCGACACGTGGCAGGACGTGGAGCGTCGTTCGCCTTTCCTTGAGCGTGAGACCACAGGCTTCGTCAGCAACAGCGTGTATCTCGCCGACACAACAACGCTTCTACCCGGAAGTCACACGCCTCTTGACGACGAGGACGATTTCAGCCGCGATTTCGCGGAAGACGAACGGCTGACGCGGATCGGCGAGAGCGTCGACACGTGGGAGGACCGGAAAGTCGGCGAGTTTATGACCCCGAACCCGTTGTGTTTCCGAACAGAGACGTCGCTATGCGCCGCGGCGAAGGCTCTGCTGCGGTATCGTCTCACGGGAGCGCCGGTCGTGGAGCCTCTAGAGGGGGATGCGGTGGGAATGGGTCGGCTCGTTGGCGTGCTGTCGCAACGAGATCTTCTCTGGAAGCAGCGGAAGCCTTTTCCTTCTGTAAGCTACCTCGTTTCACCCTTCATGTCAGCCAATGCCTCCTCTCTCTTGTTCGTTCGTCCGCTTCCTCCCTCTTGTTCCTTCTTGTCCCCCTTCCCCGCCCTTCCCCGTCCCCCCTTTCCCCCCCACCCTCCCTTCCCCTCCCCCCTCTTCTCCCAACCCCCACCCCCCGTTCGTTCATTTTTTCTGTTTCCTCATCTCTTTCTGTGTTTGTACTGTGCCATGTGCTTTAGTTCCGCTGTGCTTTCATCGACTCGCGCCTTCACTCGGTTCCGCGTTATAATCATTTGTTCCTAACGTGTTTTCTGTGTTCTCGATTGCGTGTATGGTGGTGTCATTCACTTTTCCACCACATCAGGAAGAGGACAAGATTCACCGCCTTTCGTGCTACTACGGCAACCTGAACCACGGTCCCATGGTGGACACGCTGAGACATCAGATCACGAAAATTATGAGCGAGAAGGTACGTTTTTTTCTACATAATTTATTAGACATAGTAACCCTGTTTTGTGCCGGTTTCCTGATATCGACAGAGCAGTATTTTGAACTTCCGTTCGTCATATGTTTTCTTTGTTAAACTTGTTTTCTCGCTAACCCATCCAATGTTGATTCCCTGATTTCTAATTCTCTTTCAGGTCGGCGAGTCAATGACCGACACTCCCGTCTACGTTGAAGCGGACGCGCTGGTCTCAGACGCTGCAGAGCTGATGCTCAATCATAATGTAAGCATGGCTATTCGTGCAACCCTGGTGGTTTGTTCGTAATAATACAGCTCGCTTCCTCGCTTCTGTGTTCGCTGTGTCAAGCGTTCCCGCAGTTGAGGAATGATGTAATTCCTGTCTGCGATTCTCTCTCTTTCGGATGTCTACCTTCAGCCTGCGCGCTTTTCTGAATCTCGTTCTCTCGTCCCAATTTTATTCTTCCCAGATTGCTCGTCTGCCAGTTGTCGCTCCAGTTGGCGACGAGGACGGACGTATGACTGTGGTGGGAATAATCACTGAGAGCGACGTTCTCAGGCATACACACAGGATGCTGTAATGCGGAACGACGTTCACATAAGGGAGACGCTTACGGAATACTCTGAATCTGCAGCTTTCGACGGTTTCTCACCCTGTTCGCGCGTTGTACACGCGGGATTCAAGACGAAGTCTGTTCAAGACCTACGATTCGAATCTTGGTCGGCATTGGTACTTCAGATGCTGGAGAGGTGTAACTGATTTCTGCTTATAATGACAGGCGCGTCTTAATCAGGTGGAGCTGTCACACA